CCTCAGTCATTTTCCAAGGGCTCCTCAGGCCTTCAAAGCAAGGGGATACCTTGGTGTCCAGCTGGTTCTCACACACTGGTTCCTAAAAGCCTCTGGGGCAGAGGTGAGGAAAACAGGAATCACCCCCTACCCTTCAGCAACATGTGGGGGTGGTCAGCCGGGCTTGAAGCCTCATGAGATCCAGCATTTGGCCCCAGAAGCTGCCTTCCCCATCGCAGGCTCGGTTTCAATAAACACTGCACAGATGGCTCCACAAAGCTTTTCTGGCCTGGTCCTTCCTCTCTAGGCCAGTCCATGAGCCAGCTGTGCAGTCCAGGGAAGTTAGAAGAGCCTGTTGAGTAAGAGGCCAGGGGTATTTAGGGCCAATGAGGGTTAGTGCCATTAGAGACCTCTGACTCTTGTCTGACCCTCGTCCTTTATTGAGCCCTAATCCTAACCACACACTGAGGTCTGATACCTATCAACAACTCAGAATCTCAGACTCACTGTTTGTCTCCAGATTGTAGACTAAAGCGTGGTACTTAAAAAACAAACAAAGCAAAAACCACACCTTAAAAGGAGTTGCTTTGACATCATTAATCCTTTTTATTGTAGCTGAGTGTGGTCAGGTTTTTAAAATAACCTCCAGAGCCATGGCTGGGGTAAGTGTGTGTGTGTATGTGTGCATGCGCATGTGTGTGTGTGTGGGGGGGGGGGCAGTTGAGTACTACATGTGGGCAGACACCTCTGAGCTGCTGGTTACAATCTGAGCCCTGGCCTTGGCCATAGATGATCTTCCTTTTATTGTTGAGAAATCTCAGGCTCAGGCGGGTGCCTCATGCTTCCATTGGCAGGGAAGACTCACCTCCAACCCCACATTCCTATCCCCATGTTGCAGGGGTTGATGGACTGCCCATCCCAAGGACCTCTGTCAGGTAAGCTTCTTTAATGATTAGCAGAGTAATAAAGTCATCCCTCAGTATCCAAGGAGGATTGGTTCCAGGACCACCCCCCAAGGATACCAAAATCTGCAGATGCTCAAGTCCCTTAGTCAACCCTCTTATTTTCCAGTTCCCCATCTCCAGATGCAGAGAGCCCACTATACTTTACTATTCGATCATTCACAGGCATGCTCCTCACTCTGTCCCCTACAAGAAACCAGGGCACACAGAGGTGCTGGAGGGAACTGAGGCTCAGAAAAGGCAATGAATTTATCATAGTCACACAGGGGTTCAGGGCAGCTTCAGGAGATCCTGGGTCCTAAATCCCTCCCAGAACTCCTCTTGTCATTCTTTTTTTTTTTTTTTTAAATAAAAATGGACACTTTTGAAATTTAACCTACACACATTCAAATGTACAAATTTTACATTTGTCAAAACTTGTACAGTCTGACAAGTTTTGACAAATGTAAATATCACCACAGTCAAGCTATGAATTTCAGGAGGGGTTGGGATCTCTTATTCAGAACGTATGGAGTAATCCAGCCCTTGGATGTGGCACTGGAGACTCTATTAAGTGGGTTCCAATGAGAACTTTTTGAGGAGACTCCTGTTTTTATAAGTGCAGAAAATGGAATTAATCATAATTCTCATTTCAGAGCAAACTAACCATTACCACTGGTCTATGCAAGGCCCAATGATAATTGTACTAAAAAATTTTAACCTTCATTCTCACCCCTGACCCTTAGATATGTCCTTGAACATTTGTGTCTTTAGAAAATCTGCAGTTTTTATGTATTCTTAAAGCATATAATTGATATTGCCTTATCATCTCATTCTGATTCTTGAGTTTTCAGCCAATGCAAACTTTTAAGATCTATCTAGTTCACTTCTTATCATTGTCAAATAGGACTCTGCAGTATGCATCCCCCGCCCCATGGCCGATCTAGATGGTATCATGGAATAGACCCACAGGATGGGGCTAACCACCCAAAGAATGGTCTTGCTCAGGCTACCCAGGGAGACCCTGGGTATCATCAGCATCTGGCCCTCTGCTCCCAGGAGGTAGACAAGAGCCTGGCTTCTACCCTCCTCTGTCACTGATGTTCTGTGTGATCCTGGGCAGGCTTGGGCCTGCTCCAGGCCTGACTGCCTCTGTTTCTTCAGATCTAATTGTCTTCTATTCTACTCATGGCCTGGAAACCTGGGCTGGGCCCCTGTGGGCACTCTTCCATGCTGACCATGGGGTCATGCACTTAGGAATTCAGACTGCTTAGAGCCTAGCCCAGGGTGGGGAACATTGAGTCAAAGAGCAGCAAAGGCCCCTGGGATGGTCAAAGCCAGGCTGCTTGGCTAGGGAGGGGCTGGATGTAATTGAATTGGGTCCCAAGGCCATTCCAGAGGCAGCTGCTGGTCTGGGAAGCCCTTCAGCCTAGGAGGGCCCATTAGACCCTACAGGGCAGTGAAGACACAGAGCCAAGGACAAGGGCCAGCTTTTGCATTCTGGCTCTGTCCCTAGAGCCTCCCCTGCGGGCATCCACCACCCCTTCACAATGTGCTCAGCACTAGCCTGCCCCAACCCCTCATTGTCCAAGTCCCTTCCCTTTTCATAGGCTTAGTTCCCTTGTATGGACAATGGGGAGATTGGACTATGCGGTCCTTGAGCATAATTTGATAGCTCCATAAACACTTGGAGATTAAAATACTTTTCAGGATCTATTCAGTCTACTCCCCAGCCTTGGGCAAGAGTCTAAGACCTCTCACGACCTCTACGGACGACTCATTAACAGCCAGGAGATTCTCCCACGTCTGACCTAAATCCTTGCTCAGGAAAGATCTGTTCTCTCTTGCTCAGTGGTTCGTGGAGGCTGCCCA